CATTATATAAGAAACGACGAAGTTATATGCGCAACTACGTTCGGACGTCTGTCCGACCAAAAGTAGGAATGCGAACTCATATATCACGTCGGAAGTACTCGGGGAACCGGACGCTACACCCGAAGATCATAACGAAACAAATGTCACGCATAAATTAGGTTCCCACGACTCTCAAACACACATAAGGGTTTCTACTAGCGAAGCTGCAACAGATGATCGCTGAAACTCTATGTAATACAAAGACAGGTGACGGTTCTTTTTACCAATTAATAATGTGTACAATCATCACAAAATAATTAGAGTACCGATAAAGGGTAATACGACCAGTAGGGAATCTTTCGGCGGACAAATTTCAACAGGTGTTAAAAGAATGAGGCCACTGCACTTATCAGTAGCTAGCGCAAAAACAGCAAACATTCCAACTGAGAATACATCGATGACATATGAAGAGGACACATAGTAAGTAGCAAAAATAGGGAACAAAAACCCAATCTCGTCCTCCAAAGTGTGTTTGTACACTTAGTAAAAATCTTCCTCGTTGAGATCTGGCTTCTCAGCATTCTTTATCTGATCCTGATTGCAGTACATTTCATAGACCTGAACCGCAGTGGTGGCGTCCTCGGGTTTTTTGTCCTCACGAATACGGAGAAATCGAGGGAATCGCAGAGACAGTCCCTTCTCAGGATCGGCCTAAAAATGACAACAGCGCATGTACTTAGAAGGCGTCCGCTTAAAGGAGCCAAATACTATTGGAGGAGCATTACCATTCCAGCTGCAGCCTTGTGGGCTGGAGAGATGCTGATGTCAGCCGCCTTGATTTCCCAGACCTGAACTGGTTCGAACCAATGATCCGGAACGAGACTCTTAGTATACACATAGTAAGGCTTTGGAGCAGGGATTATGTGATCCTTGAAAAAAGTAGAGTGATCCGCTAGATCCTCGTCTTTAAGTCCGGTCCCGATCTACAGCAAAAAATTATAAATTAGGCCATCTGATCGCAGTGCAAATCACAAAAAAAGTAAATCCGAAGGAAATGAGCCGTAGGTCACAGGCCCGCCAGTACTCACTTTGCAAATTGTTTGATATTCCTCGGTGTCAGGATGATAGCAGGCCAGAAGGAACCCACCATATTTGCCTGTGCGTTTTCCGCTTCCATGGAAACCGCCAATGACGACGAGATCTAACGTGTCGCCAACGCCATCCAG